TTCAAGGGATCCCCAAGAACAAGCAGGCTTAAGAGACAAGTGTGTGAATGCATGCATCCATCTGCTCGAGAGCAACAAGCTGGACAAACAGTCAAGTAGGAGGCCCATACAATGGGCAAGGGGGCTCAGTATCTGGGCAGGGAGAGCGGACAAACAGAGGGGCCATGCTGCTACTCAAGGGATCTGCACAGGCACACGTGCTTGCGAACTACAGAAGGGGCCTGTATGCTTTCATGAATGAACTTCAACCTTTACTGCCCAGATAGGAGGAAGCAGACCTAGCTACCTATAGTTACGTATATGCTAGTTCAACACGTATATGTAAGTCAACTTTTATGTAAGTTCTGGTAGTGTTATACGTGGGTGTAGCTGAAGGCAGCCCCTTGCCTGCGGCGGTCTCTATAGCCATCTGTGTTAGTCTCCTCTCTGTGTGGGAACGTGCATCTCTGGGATACACTCAGCCTTCCTACTAGTTGAAGCTGCAAAAGGGACAGCAGCAGTCACGTCTATCAGCCACCGACAGAGAGAACTCCCGGTCCCAGGGCCTGCCAGAGGCAGCAGCCTTTGCAGCCTCCCTCAACAGAAACATTATGATGGTTTTCTCCATAAAATTCATCAAGCACGTTTTTCAAAGCAAGTTCAATATTCTGGTAAACACACATAGGCCTAAGGGTATTTATTAAGAAAGTACATATATGTGAATACTTGCTCTCTATCTGTCTGGGATCAAATATTCTGCAGAGCAAGACAGACACACTTGCCACACCCTCTCATTGCAAGAACCACTGCAACAGGCAAGCGTTGACAACAAGCTAGCAAACTCTGTCTGACCTCACTGACAGACACAAATAGCTCAGCATTGCACTCTCAGTATGTCCAGGACCAGAACACAGTATTTTATATTGCTCTGTGCAGAGTTAACTTAGAATGATCTGTTCAATTTTCATGCCTTACAAAAGTATCCATAGCGCTTTGGAAACACAAGCTATCACTGCAAGCAGTAAAGCTATGTCCATGCAGTCCTACATCTCACATAACAATCTGTTATAAAACGCTATCCAAAACCCTACAATCTAACTTAAAAATAACTATAGCATTTTAACAAGACAGTAAGAAAGAACTCCTCTGCCCTAAAAACAGAGTACATCTATTGCAACAACAAAAACAAGTTTACATAATAAAAAGTCTGACCTTTTAAAGGATTAAGCACATTACTAAATCATCCTTGTGCGAGGAGCTCAAATTCAGACAATAGAATGAGTCATGCGAGTACTTGGTGTTAGCAAAATTTGCACACAAGTAGGGTTGGAAGTGCTCAATTGCTTAGCTCAGTTGCTTAATTCTTTCCATTAAAGAAATAAAAAAAAGTCTTTACTTTTGAGAAACCAAAAGATCTTTGCAACTCATTAGAGAGCACTGAGGTGGAAAAACAATTGCATCAACAATTAAAATAAAAACATAAGGAGGAAGATATCTCCTTATGATTTTGTTTTATGTTGGCCTATGAATATCATCATCAGTTCTCCATGATCTTTGCTAGGCATTCGTACATCAACTCGTTAATCTGTATACCTTCCCAAAATAAACTATTATTCTTCTCCTCATTCCATTACATAGGCAAGTCATCTCAGTTTGGTCACAACTTAATGCAGTTCCGGTTATTTGCTCCAGAAACAACACTGTACTGCCAGAACATGCAAATTATTGATCCCTTTCAGTTTACCGAGTTCAGCTTTGTGCCATAAGCAATCATATAATAGAAGAGGATCACAAAGGACGATAAAATGCCTTCTTCCCACTTACCAGCAGCGTCCCCCTACCTCTTCCCCAGTAGGGAATCTTTAGTACAAACAATAAATCCATAGGGGAAAAAAAAAAAAACACACAAGAACACAGGTGCAAAAGCCTAGATGCTCCCAGGAGAGGCCTACACACCACACTAGAGACAAGGACAAAAAAAGAGTCATCACCCAGATCCAGGAGAACCTTCAAAACACCAGGCTAATCAACAAACCACCAGGAGGAATTAGAAGTCTGCGCGCAGATGCAGGGCTACAATCTCATTGGGATCATGCAGGCGTGGTGCGATAGCTCACGCGACTGGAGTGCTGCCATGGATGGATACAGGCTCTTTAGGAAGGACAGGCCAGGAAGACAGGAAAGAGGATTGCCCTTCATGTGAGAGAGTAATGGGAAGGCATGGAGCTCTACCTGGGGCTTGTGAAGGGACAGTTGAGACCTTACAGGTTAGGATTAGTGGGCAGACCAACATGGGGGATGTGGTAATGGATGTCTGCTACAGACGACCTGATCAGGAAGAAAAAGATGATGTTCACAGGCCTAGGTCCTCATAGGGGACTTCAACCACCCCTGTATCTGCTGGATGGAAAACACAGTAAGGCACAAGCAATCCAGGAGGTTTTCTAGAGCGCATTGATGACAACTTCCTGACACAGGTGATCTTGTCTAGACCATGGAAAACATTGATGTCTGCTATAAGCAAGAGTTTATCTCCCCTGAAGACAGCCCAGCCTTTCATGAAGTAACAGGAGTCACCTCATCACAATTCCTACCTATAAAGGCAATATGCAATTTCTAGCTGAGCAGACCTCTGTAAGAGCCTGTAGAGACTTGTGATAGAAACACTGATGTTAGTATAAATGAAATACAAGCAGAAACATGTGTGTGGAAGCACTGAAAAGAACAGCAGAACAAGGGTTAAAAGAACGTCCTGTATTGATAAAGAACAACATTATTCCCAGGACGCTGCTCCTCACAGTAAAGTTGACGAATGGGTTGTTTATATCGAGACCAGAAGGTCTGCCCTTCATAAGACCACAGTGCAGTGACTCATCAGCAGAAGATCCTGCATCCTAACATCAGGAGGACAGAGACTTGCAGCATATCAGATATGCCGTTCCTTTTCCTGTCTGTCTAACTGCAAAACAGACATCTATTTCAAACAAGCCAGGAAAAACAGATAACAAGCAGCAACTTTGCCTAAGATTTATGGAGGCTGCTTCGGACTCTTGCTTACATCAAAGGACCACATCACAACAACTATCAACTTTTTATATTAAGTTGAATGATATAAAAGATCTGTCCAAACATTAATTCATCGTCACTAATCACGAAGAGCCTCAGAGACATGGTGAGAACCTGATAGCCAGCCTTTCTTGCATTGCACACAAATGATCCTGGCCAGACCACTTAAGCAAACAACTTGGTGCTTGCAAGCATTATCAATTCCAAGAGCATGAGTGAATGAAATCTGAGAGAATGTGCAGGAGTGGGTAAAATCAACTTACTTAAAGTTTTTCTAAGGAAGCATCACCTTTCTTTTTCATGAAATCACAATTTTGTTATGCTAAATCTTCCTACAAGTCATCCTCCAAACCTTTTTAAAAACTGGATCAGCAGTCAAGAAACAGTCCCAAAAGTAGCAACTCCATGTGCAGTATAATTCCACTGAACACGAATGTCTTATAAACTCAGTCAGTGTTACAGCAGGAAAAACAGTATGCTGTCATGGAATTAGAACTACGTAAGTATGCTCTGAAAAGGGTAAATGAACTTGAGAAGGAAAGCCATACAACAGCATTTCCTAAGCTTTGTTATTTAAGATTTCAACAAATGCAGTTTTTGACTTTTTTTTTTTTTTTTGAGTGTAATACATTAGATAGTTCATACTTACAGTCTACATCAGACCACTAAAGAGATGCTAGCTACTGGCAAGAACCCAGAGGGCTGACTGTCCTTTAATCTTCCTTTTATATAGATTTCAAAAATACATTTTGAAATGTTTGAATGGGGGAAAGTCCAGAGAACAGAGGATAAAAAAACAAACAAACAAACAAACTGCCTTCACTCAATGGAATAACTCTCAATCTTTCAATACCTATTTGAATGTTCAGTACAAATTTTGCCAGCAAAATGCATTTTTCTTTTTTCAACTGCATTTTTAATTCACAATCATAAAGCACAGCATACCACTGAGGTTACATTTTTTGAAGTTTAGCTGTTGTTTAAACTAGAAGTTAACCAACATTTTTCTGGTTTGAAGACTGCTGTCGTTCTCTCACAAGGACAGGCTGCGCACTCTCAAAAAAGAGAACAAGGAAAACAATAATTCATTAACAGCGACTCTAAATCATGGAGCTCTCTGATTCTAAATCATGGAGAGGCAAAACATACAAAAAAATAAAATAAGGTTTATCTATATTTTAGTAAAGAAGCAAAAAACCTCAAAATTTAGCAAATCGCTCAGCTTTTTAAAAGCAATTTAACTGAATAAGCAAACTGGAATATTAATGTCAAGAAAATATGACAATCTGAAGTTGCCATAATGTCTTTTTCTAATCTATTATTAACTTTTCTATGTTCAAATGTGACTCAAAAGATACAATATCAGGAGATATTGTAACTGCGGATCTCTAAATGAGACCTTTCTCTTCTTTCCTCCCCCAACCCCGCCAATATTTCTTTAAATCAGCTTCAACCATTAAAAACCGCACACCATACTAAGACTCCATTTTGTATATGGAGTACAAAGATCTCAGATACTGACAGAAAATGTTTTAATTCTTAAACTTTCTAGCTTACTTTCTGCTTTTCTTCCACTCAAGTTTGAAAAACACTGAAATACAAGGAGCCATCTACGTACTATAGAAACAACATTCTCCTGTACACAAGTCCATTAGTCAATATTTCACTGAGAATTAGAGTTTCTTTCATTTTCTCTCAATATAAGTGGCCAAAGGGGTGAGGAGTTTTCAAAATACACCAAACGGCTATTCATTTCCATAAGATACAGTTACTAACTGCTTATCTAGTTCTAGAAAGTAAGTTTGCAGCTACTCTCTCTCACTCTATGCTAGCCAATAATACAGTTGTATTTTATAGCTACATATATACTTTATACATAAAACGCAATTATGCCACCCTTTTCTCCTCCATCATTTTTTAAAAGAGTCGCCACCCATAACAACTGAAAAGCTTACCTTTTTCTGGTACCAGACTATAGCATCAGTTACTTTGGACGCCATTTATTCCACTGAATTCACACAGTCATTTTAGGCTGTTAAGAGAAAAAGACAAAACTTTACTTCCACCTTCCACAAGAAGGCCTACCTGGAAATTGCTAAACAGCTATACTTTTGTTAAGCGTTGCCTCATGATAATTTTGGTAACAGTCGGGTGTTTTTTCTCCTCACTAAACAAAAAATTATCAATCTGCTGCTATTTTCTCCATCCTTCCCAGTAAAAGCTAAGCGGCAAACAGACTAAGCTGTGCTGTTTCATAAGCAGTGCCCTCATGAGAGTTGCACTATATCCAGCCTCCCCCCTTCCCCCCCCCCTTTTTTTTTTTTTTTTTTGCATTTTTGGACAATGAATAAACCTGTTACAAAGTCCAAGAAAAGTTGCATACAGATTACTAGATGTTTTTGGAGACAAAAATCAGTCTAGAACTCTATTAATTACAAAATTAATACTCTCACTAACACAGTAGACTAAAACTAAATCAAAAGGAGATAAGCAAGGCATAATAATATGTTTATTTTAACATTAGCAAATAGTAGTAGTATTAGTTTTTTCCACATTAAAACTACTGACGATAATATCCAAATGTAACTTTCAACCTACATAAAACATTGCTCCCTTGAAAACCAACTTTAAAAGTTTTGTTTCACGCCACCAGTCAGACAGAGTTTGGGTAAGTATAAAGAAAAAGGCCATGAGAGAGAAAATTCTAGATTTAGAATTTACCATATTTTTTACAAAGCACTCTTTCAGTAGTTTTTTTCCCTTTCATGGAAGGGCAAAACAATTATATTGTATATATTCTCTTATACTGAATATTCTGTAAAATGAAAGGAAATATTAGATGAAACTTATGGAATCATTTCTAGACATTTTATGATAGTATGCCAGTTCTTTGAAATACGATGTGCCTTCAATGATATGCCTTATCATTGAAACCTAACCCGAACATTTATAAGGTTACTTCACAATTACATCACTTCAGATATCACGAGATTAAGAACACTGCATTCTTGAATTATTTTAGTACCTAAATTTCAAACTGTTCATTTTCATGGGAAAGAACCAGGAGGAGGAAAGAAGGAAGGAAGAATCAAAAAAAGATAACGTTAAAGTATTTGCCAACAAATCTGAAGGTATTGTCTTTAATAGTCTTTCAACACTGATTTCCTTTAAAATATATAGAGAGAGAAAAAATCAAATATTCCAAACTCAACCCCTGTTAAAATAAAAGGCAGTGGGGCATACCCTACTACATGCGATCTGTTAACATTAGCGCATTAGTTGTTAAAAAAATTAAATTTTTCAGCTTCTTATAATATCCAGCATCCTAATCCTTCCTATATCTTACAAGCGCTTAACAATGCTAAGAGAAGGTTAAGACACGTGTTTACAGTATTTGCACACACAAGAAGAGAGATTTGAGCGTCCTTTAGCACAGAAGAAAAATATATAATGCTGACACACGGAAAATGAAGCTGCAGAATAGATTAAAAATAAACATCTTCACAACATGTCTAAGCATTAGAATAATTTAAGACACTGTATTATACATTCTCTAACATTGAGAATTTTGAGAGTTCTTCCCCCCCCAAGAAGCTTTTCTTCAAAGAAAATTTAAGTCATGAGAAAAGGTATGAGATTTTTTTTCCATCGGGTTATGCAGAGATCAGATTACTTGATCACGACAGCTGTCTGTATGAAAACTACAAGTGATACTCTCTCTCTGTAAGAACCCCACCAACATTCTGATCTTCCAAGGCATTTTTGGAACAAAATGAAGACTCTCCAAGATTCAGTTCTGCACTGATGCCTATTTATTCAGTCTTCCCTGATTTCTGTATAGATGTACTCTTCTTTTACACAGTGAATTATTTTAAAGACATCATATTTTATAAGTTGAAACACGCATTTTTTACACTATATTATAAATATTTAATAAATTGATTGATTTTAATACAAGCTTCTGAGGATATCTACAAAAGGCAACACATTGTCCTCTGTTTAACAAAGCTTTTTCAAAAACACCATGTATGATCAAATGTCCAAAAGGAACTATATTTACAATTTTTAATAGTATAACTCCAATTTTTTATACAACTTATACAACAACAACAACATTACAACACAATAAAATAGAAATGTCTCTGTCACAGCAGAGACAGGCTTAAGCAACTTTAGAAATACTAGGACGCTGACTTCTGGTGCAGCTGAGCCAATCAACACTGCAATTTTTCCACTGTTAATATCCTTGTGTAAGCTACAGCAAGTTAGTTAAAGATGGCAACCATGGCTGTGTCCAGATTTATAATTCTTTCTGACCCATTTGTTCCTGATAACAGTAGCAGTTTAACTAAGAGCAACTATCAGTGATTAAGAATTCATTAGCACAATAATTACTTATAAAAGAATATTTCTTTCTATTAGGTAAACCATATAGCCCAACAGAGACTTTTATATAACTCGGCATACTACACAGATTGCTTACCCCTTCTTTTTTTTAGCCTTATACAAAGCTTAAAATAGGAGTTGCTTCTTGTTTGTAAACATATTTTAAGCAAAAAAATTTTAAAAGGTTTGCTATACTGAACTATAGCCCAAAAACAATGTAAAATCCTTAGACATACATAATCTCCACATATAAAGTGGCCTGCAATTGCACAGATGCAATTAAAGCACTTCCACTGCTCAGGGAACAACCCAGGTAGAAAGAACTCCATATCAATTTTAAACACACTCATCCCTCCTCTTCCCCTCCCTGTGACCTCATCACCCTGGAGTATCTAAATTCCTTCTCATTTCTCCTAACCCAACCTCCTCTCCCACGTACAAGATACCCTTCCTACCACCTCCCTTAATTACAGGATGAGAGAAAGGCAGCAGGAACTCATTATCTGTAGTAATTTAAAGAACTGTTGAACTTGCACAGAAACCTTTCCCTCAACAGATATATCAACTTCATCTTTCACTCTACGTGGTCAATGATTTTCAGGAAACCAGTAGTAGTTTATGAATCCAGTACTTCCAGCTCACGCAAATATGGCCAAAATTTAAAGACAGCAACTGTTTGTTGCTGCTGTTCTCAAAGTCAATCGAAAATCCTTTGTCTAGAGAAAAGTTATATCACAAAAATTACAAGCCAGGTATAATGAAGAGGTCTGTTATTCATTTCTTTGATTTTTATCATCAGACTTGCTATTTAGATAGGTGTTTGTATAGTTTGTACAGTAAGTCCTTCATACAGTTTATCTTTAGATGTTATTTAAGCTGTTATGAATTCCACAACACAAACACAGTGAAGATGTTTCTAAAAATATCACAAAATCATAGCATCGACGTCTCAAGAAGGGTTTAAGAGTTTGGTGTGCTGAGTACAGAAACCTTTACGAGGACATGCCACATGATTTAAGAGATACACAACAATTTCTGAGACAGCACTGAAATGAAAGGCAAGAAGATTCATTTTTATTATGTCTGGAGTATGCTTCTACTTGCAGGGGTTGGAGGGGGGGTTTTTTGTTTGTTTTTGTTTTTTAAGAGACAGCTTAATGAGTTTGACACATTTGGCCTGAAGATAAGTAAGCTAGATAAGAAATGGATCATGAAAATTTAAGATATGTAAGCTGCAGCCCTGGCTCTGATTCGGTACGGATGCACACAACACATTCAACATCTAGATAGGAAACTCCGAATTGCAACAGGTTCAGAACTCTTTGTCACCTTTACAAATCAGTATCTTACCGAGCTGACAATTTGTATTGATATCGACCCTGAACTCAAGACTGTACAAGTTGGGCTCTAAGGTACATCAGTACCTTAAAAACGGATACAACGAATGAGTCAGAACAGATGATATACATCCACGAGCACAACAGAGCACCTATCCTCCTCTCTTCTCCACCCACTCTCTTTGCATCTAGCCCTTTTTTTTTTTTTTAAGGCTGTACCTCAAATACGTGTATTTGGGGCAGGCACCAGCTTTTGTACTCAGCTGTACCATCCTCATCCTCAGTTATATAGTGTTCTTTGCATAGTAACTACAGCAAGGTAAGTAACTAATTGGAGACTTACATGCAACACTAAAGGTACTCCTAACTTTCAGAGCTTAGACAGAAAATCCAAATACATAAGCTTGATCAAAACATCACTACAACATCTAACAGACCAGTCATTACAATTCCCTCAAACTCAGAGTAAACAATAACAAGCAACAGTTTTTGATCAAAAATGTATTACTTCCTTAAAGCTAAAAATAGATGACCATCTGGTTGTGGTGATCCCTATTCAGAAGGGTTGTTTTTCCTCATATCAGAGCACAGTCATATTCTAATTTAAACAGGCATAAACTACACCCAGCAATCAAAAGAGCAATTTTTCAAAAGCTACCAAAATCTGTATTTGAGAGTCTTCAGGTATTCAAACACTCAGTGAAGCAGTAAACTGCACTTACTGTGCAATAAACAGTTAGATACTACAACGCATTCAAATAAATTTAAACTAATTATGTTTTACAATTTTACTCATATACATAATGACCCAAGTCAGACAAAATGCTTGCACTTCTAAACTACAGCCTACAGAAAGTAATTTTGAACTCTGATAAGAGTTCAGAAGACCGCTGTGCTCCTCAGGTTGACAAAGGTAAGAAAATACACTGATAACTTTTTGGAGAAATATAGAAGACTAAGCAGTGTCAACTAGCAAAAGGACATCATTAAAAAAAAAAAAAAACCAACACCACAGACAAGGAAACATGGCAATTACTCGCTTTTCTTGCCTGTAAACACTGTGAATCACCAAGTATTTCAAGGAACCTATTTTCTTTGTAACGCTCCTAACCTGGATGGCCAAGATATCATTCAGTTGCTGAATAAGACTTGGAAAGTCCTTCTCAACTCATTATGATTATGGAATGATGAAGTTGCCATGTTTACTCAATGTCAATAACAGTAAAATTGCAGAGAAGTGACATTTGTCATGAATGGTTTTTGAAATGCTATTATTTTTTACTCTTTCAGCAGAAAAACTTCTCTAAGCAACATCCTAAAGACAGTTCTTGTTAAAATATTACTACTTAAAGCTATGAAGAAGACTAGAACTCTGCATCAACTGCTTTCTACCACAGATCTATT